TGGCCGCCCGCGACCCCGGGATCTGGGGGCGGGAGCGCGCGGGGGCGGGGGGGGGCTCCGTTTGTGTGGGAAAGGGAGGGCGATGCGGGGGCGGGGGACCCCCCACTCTCCCTACTTCACCCCGGGGGCCCCGGTCTGCACACCTGCCAGCTCTCCTGCACCGAGAGCTCTCCTCACCTTTTTGATTTTTAACTTTCTAGCCTTGGGTTGCTAGGGAACCAGTCCGAGTCCTTGTGTGCTAGGTCTGCAAACCTCTACTGCTATCCTCCCATTGGCCTATGTATTCATTGTACAAAGGGATTTTCCATGCACCTTTTTTGTTTTGTTTTCTCCTCTCTTTTTCTGTGCCAGTACTAGGGCTTGAACTCAGGGCCTGGGTGCTGTCCCTCAGTTTTGTTTTTGTTTGTTTTTTGGGGTCCAGTCCTGGGGCCTGAACTCTGGGTCTGGGCGCTGTCCCTCAGCTCTTCAGCTCAAGGCTAGCGCTCTACTACCACTTGAGCCACAGCGCCACTTCCGGCTTTTTTCTTTTTTTTTGCTTATGTGGTGCTGGGGAATCAAACCCAGGGCCTCATGCATGCAAGGCAAGCGCTCTACCACTGAGCCACCTTCCCAGCCCTGTCCCTCAGTTTTTACTTATTGTTCAGAGCTACCTAGTGTTCTGTCACTTGATCCACAGCTCCAGTTCAGGTTTTTCTGTGCTTCATTGGAGATAAAGGTCTCCAGGATTAGCCTGACTTTGAACCATGTTCCTCAGATCTCAGCTTCCTGAATAGCTAGAATTATTGGCACCATTTTCACACACACTTTTTTTCCCCATCCAGCTTCTTTTCTTGTATTTTTTTTTTTTGGGGGGGGGTTGGTCATAGGGCTTGAACTCTGGGCCTGGGCACTGTCCCTGAACTTTTTTGCTCAAGGCCAGTGCTCTACCACGTTGAGTCACAGTGCCACTTCTGGTTTTCTAGTGGTTTATCAAGATGAGTCCTATGGACTTTCCTGTCCAGCTGCTCAGGCTGGCTTTGAACTTCCATCCTCGATCTCAGATGCTTTTTCTTTCTTTTTTTTTTTTTTGGTCCGGTCGTGGGGCCTGAACTCTGGGCCTGGGTGCTGTCCCTCAACTCTTCAGCTCAAGGCTAGCATCCCAGCACTTGAGCCACAGCGCCACTTCTGGCTTTTTTCTTTTTTCTTATGTGGTGCTGAGGAATCGAACCCAGGGCCTCAGACATGCAAGGCAAGTGCTCTACCACTGAGCCACCTTCCCAGCCCCAGTCCCTTATTGTCTTAATGTGAGTTCTGAAACTTGGTTCCTTCACCACTGACCTAAGGGATGGGGGTGGGGGGCTCCAGATTCTGATTCCCACCTGGTGGACAATGGGTTTGGATATTTTTCCTCCTTGTTGCCTTAAGGGCAGGAAATCCCTGGTTGGGATCCTGAAAGGATTAAGACCTCTGGGGCCTGGTCTCCTGAGAGCATGGATAATAGGAGGCTGCTCTAGCCTGCTTGTACACACCCTATCTGGCCTTTCTTAAACTAGTATATATTTTTTCCTTTTAATCAGATCATACCTTCATTCTTGAATCTTTCAGTACTCACTTGTGCTTTTGGAAGATGTCTGCCCTCCTTCCTAGGGCCAGCTCTCCAGCCAGTGCTCAGTGGATAGATTAGCCATCTCCTAGCTTTATTTCTACTTTGTGAAAGTGAAGATTACTGACACAGGATGAAATCTTCCACCCCCTTTTTTTGTCCTAAGTAGAGAGAAAGGGTCTTCACTGTCTTCCCCTCATTTTGTTTGCGTCAGAGACTTAGAACAATTTTTGACCACTGGCTTAATTCTCAGCACTAAGTACTAATCCTAGAGACCTGGGCATTTTGCTTCTTATTTCAGGATGAATCTAGGCTGGAGTGAGGCCCTGTGGACCAAAATTTGACTAAAATGGTGAGGTTTAAAAAACAAATGTAAATAGTCCCTAATCCTACCTAGTGTGGTCTTGTGATCTAGGCCACCCAACAACAACAACAAAAAACCTTTGAGGCCAGTATTGATTGGTTTCTCTTAACCTACAGCCACCTAATCCAATCCCCTTGTCTCATCCTGTCTTGGTAGAGTTCCCACACTCCTCTGGGGGCAGCAGGCAGGCAGGGGCTCTTGGGGAGGCCTGGGCCAGGTCCCTCCTTAATGCTTTCCCTGTTCTTCACTCAGCACCCGGAACAATGCAGTCGCCACCTGCCATCCCTGTGCCTGTGCCTGTGATCCGGCTTCCCCGGGGTCCTGATGGCTTCAGCCGTGGATTTGCCCCTGAAGGACGCAGGGTCCCCCTGAAGTCTGGTAGTTCTGAACTCCAAGAAAGTCCTATGAGCGAAGACTCTCCAGAAACCCAGGAGCAGCGAGCCCGGGCCACACTCCGGGAGCGCTACCTTCGCAGCCTGCTGGCCATGGTGGGCCGCCCAGTGAGCTTCACCCTGCACCAGGGCGTGCTCGTGGCTGCCCATTTTGGAGCCACTGACCTGGACGTGGCCAACTTCTATGTGTCGAAGCTGCAGACTCCCATAGGTGTGCAGGCTGAGGCATTGCTTCGGTGCAGTGACATTATTTCTTATACCTTCAGGCTCTGAAGAAGAACCTTCCCCCAGCCCTGCCCTTTTAACTGTGTGGCCTAGCCCACCATTCTGGGCCTCCAAAGGGCCCAGGCCAGGACCTTGGCCCATGAAGGTCTCTGCCTCTTTGAGTTCCAAGTCAAGCTCCAGCGCTCTTCCCACCTCCAGGGTCAGTGGAGAGAAACCACAGCCATGAGTTTTAGGTCCCAAGGGAAGGAACCTGAAAGGTATTCTACCTCAGAACTGAGTCCTGCAGAACCGGGCCTGGTGGGAAGAAGGGCACTGAAGGAAGACAGCTACCTAAGGGAGCTGTTTATTGAATTGGTTGAAAAGGTCACCTACCCTGAAGATTCTTCTTCTCCCCTTCCCCTCCCCCTCTGATGCCAAAGAAGCTATTTTCCACGGAAAATCCGACTTCTGTCTTTCCTATGTTTATATACAAATGTCTATTGGGTCTAGGGTCTCACTGTAGTCCTTAGAGTCTTATCCTTAGAGCCTTAGAGTCCTTATCTTCTGGGATTACAGGTATGAGCCACTGTATCTGGCTCTCATGTTTTAAGTGTACGTCGTAAGGGATGGAGGAGCTCCATTTAGGAAGGGACTGGGGTAAGGGAATGTCTAGCATCCCCCCCAAATGGGAGCTTGTATTTGGGGGTGGGTAGGGATCAAAAGGCCAGAGGTGTGGCCCATACTGGGTTTAAGACCGCCCGGCCTCCAAGTGACCACCGGATGCGGTGGCGATCATTGAACAAAAGCCACGGATCAGTAGTTCAGGCAAAGCCGCTGTGCTTCATTTGTACCTGGGCGACCCACGTCCATGTCACCCGCTGCGCTTAGCCTTCCGGCCACAAGAAACCCAGGTAGTTTCTGTCCCCTCCCCAGTCCCTTCAAGATCACAATGCAGACGAAGCCCTTCTTTGCCACGGGGAACGGGACCTTCGGGACCTTCGAACGCCGCCGCCGCCGCCGCCGCCCGTCCATTCACAGCATCTGCGGCGAGGCCCCGCCCAGCGGCCGGGGGGGCCTCGTTCACGGCGTAATTCGCCCCGCCCCTTGTTCACGTTGCCATGGCAGCAGCCGAATTGGCCGTACCCAAGCGCAGGTTTGAGGTTTCAGGCCCCCCCCCCCCGCCCTCTCGTGCGCAGGCGCGCTGGGGGCAGCTTGACGAAAGTGCCGACGCGAATCGTGGGCTAGCGAAGGCATCGACTCCAGCCGGGCTGGGTGATCCTCCTCCGCCACCTGGTGGTGGTCGGCCCGGTGGAGTCACGCTGCTCGCCTTTTCGGTCTTTTTCTTCTCCCAGGTGTTTTGTATTTTCCCAATCGGATTTGACACTGCTCGCCGAGCGGTTTTTCTCGCTGCAGTTAGGTGCCGAGCCAGTTTCTTGCGTGTACCCAGGCAAGCGCTGTGCCCCTGAGCTACAGCCTCAGCTCTTCCGTGTTTATGTCGAGGCAGCGTCTCGTTAGGTGGCCGAGGCTGCCCCCGAGCCAGCTCTGCGCCGCACAGGCCTGCCTGGAACCTGTGAGCCTCCTGCCTCAACTTTTCCAGTTGGGGGGGGGTTGCAACGTGCACCACGACGTCCAGCCGGGTCTCGGTAGTGTAACCCTACTGCATGTATTTCAAGCAGTGCTGCCACATTCCTGACAGCCAATGACGACATCCCGTCTGCCAATGAGAGGCCAGAGAATAAACAAGGGGCCAGAGGCTTCGCTTCCAGACGGAAAATCCCTCCCTGTCAGCTGTGCGTCCTCACACAGCACAGCAGCGCCGGTCCCTTTGTCCTTCCGCATCCCGCAACCCCTTGTTCCCCTCCCACCCCCCTTTCTCCTCGGTTGTTCTGGCTCCCAGGCCTTTGGATCGCTAGCAACCTGTCGTGACGAAAGTGCGGGAGGCGGAGCCTGGGCGGAGGCGGAGCGGCTCGGGTCCGCGCGTGCGCGCTGTCCGGGGAGACGGCGTCCAGCTGGGCCCGCCCCTCATTTTCTGCAGTTCCGGCGCCGCAGATTCGCTACTCGGGTTTCTCTGGTGTCGTGGCTTTTCCTCTCGCCCGCGGCCCCGCTCTTCCGTACCGCCCGCGAGACGATCGTGTCCTCAAAGAAGCGGAATACACTTCCCCCCTTTCTTCCCACGCCGCGGGCCCTGAGGCCTTTTCGCGAAAGTGCGTCTGCGGATGAGCAGGTGCGCTCGGGACGCGGCGGAGGCGCGCTGGGGCTCCCGGCGGCGACGCGGAGAACGGACGCAGGCGGCGCCTGAGGCAGCTGCGGAGCCCATGCCCCGGG